TTTTTGGTTGCATATGAAGTTTAAGGTGGTTTTTTGTCCAGTTCTGTGAAGAAGGTCAATGGTAGCTTGATGGAGATAGCACTGAATTTATACATTACTTTGGGCAGTATGGCCATTTTCACAATGTTGATTCTTCCTAAATATGATCATAGAATGTTTTTTCATCTGTTTGTGTTCTCTCTTATTTCCCTGAGCAGTAGTTTGTAGTTCTCCTTGAAGAGGTCCTTCACATCCTTTGTTAGTTGTATTCCTAGATATTTTATTCTCTTTGTAGAAATTGGATCCTCTGTTGTCTGGTGGAGCGTGGCTGACTCAGACAGCCTCTTAGCCCTGCTGAATCTAACTCCTACCTGGAAATAGGAATTTCTGCTTTTGTTTCTTCTTTTTAAAATAGAAGCTGACTAATTTTTTTTTGTCTCTTTCAGATGGTTTTTTGTACCTTTATTGTTGCATCCAAACCATGGAAATTTGAACTCACCATGCTGAAGAAACACTGCAAAGATATGTAGGGATCTTCCAGAGTGTTCTGCCATGCTCATTTCCATTTTAAAGAGGAAGAAAAGACACTTGTAAGAACTGGAACAACACAGTTAACCCATTGATCTCATTTGTTTGGCCTTTTTGCTTTGTGTTCTTCGTGGGCTGATGTTGAAAATTTTGGTGTGTTTTGACAGCATTGCACAGCCTATTCTAGCTGGATACTTCACCTACTAGCTGGGATAATCTGCTACCAATAAATGGAAGCTGTTTCTACACCTCACCCAACCCTGAGTACGAATTACCTTTCACTGACAGCTCTTTCTAGATAACCAGAGAACCCAGCCCTCAATTGCTTCAATCATGCTGGGCACTTTCTGTAAGGCTCTGAGAGTCTGGCTGTCTTGGGAGTTTCCGTCCATGGATTTCTGTAGAAATCTCCCTTCCCAGGACTTTTGGGAAGACACATCCTGTTGGCTTAGAAACATCTACTTTTAAACAGATCCAACCAGAGAGACAGTAGGATCATTTGGAGATTTTCATTGGTTTTGAGTTGAGGCAGAAAAGTTAATGGTGTAGGGAGAGAAGACTGCATATGTGTGTGTGTGTGTGTGCATGCCTATGCATAAGTGTGTGCTCACAATTAGATGTATCAGTGAGTTAATGCTGCATGACAAATTGCCTGGTCACCTAACAGCACAAGCAAATTATTTATATGTCTCATGGTGTCTGTGAGTCACGCATCTCTGGGTGGCCTGGCTGGGCGGTTCTGGTTGTCACCTTTCATCAGGTTACACTCCAATATTGACTCTGTGCCATTATTTGAAGGTTTGATGGACTCTGGAGAATCCCCTCCAAAGTAGCTCACTCCCATGGCTGCAGGTTGGCAGCGGCTATTGACGGAGGTCTCTGTTCTCCACATGGCTTCTCCACAAGATTGCATGTGAGCTTGGTGTCCCGGTTGACTTGCTCCAGACACAGTGTTCCCAGAGACCAAAATGGAAGCTATCATATGTGTTGTGACCTAGGCTCAATCCAGAACAGCCCTGGCTCAGTGTGGACTATACAAGGACATAAAAATAGGAGATTAGGATCATTGGAGACCATTCGGGAGGCTGGCCACTACAGTGTGCACACGTGTGCATGTGTGTGCACGCATGTGTATGGAGAGTGGACTGAGGTGATGAAGGGATAACCTGGCCACACAGAGGTACTTTCTGAAGTCCTGATGTGTAGACAGCAGCACCAGTGTGCAGGGTGAGGCCAGGAGACAATATTGTGTAATAGCCAGTAGTAACACAGAGTCAGGTTCTAACTTAGACACATGAGAGGGGGATGGTGAAGCTCTGAGGCCACCTGCATGACAACTCTCCTTGAGGGCTCTTCTCTGACAGAGCCGACTGCAACCTTCTGAGCTTCTCTGCCTGAGGGCTTTCTCTGCCAGTGAGGGGCAGGCTGGACTGCCAGTGAGTAATACCCATGAGAGGAGCCCTCAGCCAATGATAGCAGTTGGAGGATACACATCCTGGGCTCTTGTCCCATGGATAGAACACCAAGTTGTACAGTTGTGTTCCACCCAGGCCCTGAGGAGCACTCTTCGAGACTGAGCTGTAGCTACCCATATTGCCAGCCTCGCTATCCACGCTGCGTCTGCCCCTTACCATTTCCAACTGCCTTTCTGGAATCACTTCTAAATAAGCCACTTGTGCTTGAATTTTTGTCTCAAAGTCAGCTTCTGGAGGAGCCAACCTAATAGTGGAGCCGGATCTACTGTAAGTGGCAGCCTGAGATACCCAGGGGCTTCTGGCTGAGATCAGACATCAGGACACCCTTCATCTTGACAATGGAAACACCAAGTTCTGCCAAAATGTTTAAAGAGGTTTATTCTGACTCATATGAGTGACTAAGGCAGGGAAACAGAGTCTCAAGGTCCTGAGAAAGTGTGCCTGAGGTGGTCAGGTTACAGGTTGGTCTGATACATGCCAAGCCAGGAGTTGCAGGTAAAATTATAAATCAATACATGGAAGGTATATATTGGTTTGGCCCAAAAAGGTGAGACATCTGAAGGCATGGGCTTACAAGTTATAGGTGTGTTTAGGGATTCTTTAGTTGGAAATTGGTAGAAAAAGTTAAGCTTTGTCTAAAACATGGAGTAAGTAGAAAGGAATGCTAAGGGGATCTTCTATCTGTCAGGTGATGCCATGCCAGTCAGTTGGAAAAGCGAGTCACAATGTGCTAGGTCAGAAAGTACCTTTTTGATGAGATTTTATGGTTTTTAAGGCATGATTCCTCAGGCCCTTAAACAGAAATTTCAGAAAGAAAGAAAGAGAGAGAAAGAGAAAGAAAGAAGGAAAAAAGAAAGAAAGAAAGAAAGAAAGAAAGAAAGAAAGAAAGAAAGAAA